GAGAGAGAGAGAGAGAGAGAGAGAGAGAGAGAGAGAGAGAGAGAGAGAGAGAGAGAGAGAGAGAGAGAGAGAGAATGCATGTCTATATGGTTGAAAGGCATGACTTGAGTTTCACTTGCCCCCTTACAGGCCCCTTTGGCGGCGACGGACCTCAAACTGTATCTGAAAATCCGTTTTGCCAAAAGAAGAAAAAGAGACCATCATGGTCACGGCTTGACGCTCCCCTGCATCGGATGGGAGCTATTCCCTCAGGTCTCTCTTCAAAGCTTTGTAAACTTCCTTGTTACAGTCATTCCTTGTATGATAATTCACATATGCTAGTTCATCAAATGACAATTTGAATTCAAATCCTTGTTACAGTAATTCCTTGTATGATAATTCACATATGCTAGCTCATCAAATGACAATTTGAATTCAAATCATCATCAAACGAAAACTCAAATCATCGTCCGAAAACTCCGATCGCACACACACACACACACACACACACACACACACACACACACACACACACACACACACACACACACTGACCACATAGTATGGAGCCTCAGAGTAGCAATAAGTTTACCGCGGTAACAATAAGTTGTAACCATCATGGTGCCAACTCACATCCAAGCCAATGGCGGTAACAATGAGTTTACTGCGGTAACAACAAGATTACCGCGGTAACGACTTTACTGCGGTGACAACAAGATTACCACGGTAACAAGGAGTTTACTGCGGTAACAACGCGATTACTGCGGCAACAATAAGTTATAACCATCATGGAGCCAACTCACATCCAAACCAACGGCGGTAACAATGAGTTTACGGCGGTAACAACAAGATTACTGCGGTAACAATGAGTTTACTGCGGTAACAACAAGATTACCGCGGTAACAATGGGTTTACTGCCGTAACAACAAGATCACCGCGGTAACAATAAGTTTACCGCCATTGAGCACATTCTGCATCAGAGTTCAATGGAATGGAATAGCAGGACCCCATTGAGCATCTTCTGCTTTAAAAGAGTCCAGGCTTGCATGGATGATCTTCACGGCGCTAGCTTTGTTTTTTTTTTAATTCCAATGCTTTTCCTTTTCTACAATCCTGTGTGGATTTATATTCTTCTCCCTCGCCCTGCAATCTCCTCCTCCCCTCCCCCCCACCCGTCCCTTTCCCATCTCCTGCCTCCCGAACCTAATCTCTAAATCTATGGCCTTTTATTGTTCTTTGTTATGGCCCAGCATTGCTCAAACTACTCTGAAAATTTTGTGAAAATTTTGTGAAAATGTTAGTAAGCCTACTAACATCTTGCTATACTACCCTTTGAAACCCAAGAGAAGTGGACTGATTTCATCAGAACCAAGTGGACTGATTTCATCAGAACCCCAGAGTGACACAAAGATCTGGCAGTCTTGTTCACTGCCTCACCAGCACTTCATCATTTTTTTGTCCCTCTGCCACAATCCTTGAGAGTTGAGAGTAAGTAGGTTCTTTTTTTTTTTTTTTTTTTTAATTTTTTTTAAGAATACCCCTATGTTGAAAGAATACCTGAGGGTATATAGATTGAAAGAAGGGGGCGATAAACATGGTTGTAATTCGAGAGAACGAGTCCGTACGGCTGCAAATTCTTCGTCTCCCCTCTCGTGGAGCTATGCTGCTAGGTTATGATTCTTGAGAACTAGTCCTTAGTGCCACGATGCTTCTGTCCTTTCCTGCAGCTATATCGTTGAGAGCTGCCGTCTTCACCCGAATAGAACGCCCTGTCATTATAGCTGCATTTTTGGCCCAACTTGCAGTCCAGATGCAGCGATAATGACCGGGCATTCTATTCGGGTGAAGACGGTAGTGCCACAATTCTTCTCTCCTCTCTTCGAGCTACTATTGACGTTGCCGCACCTTGCAGCGCCACCACGACTTGTCTGACAATCAAGAAGACGAAGATGGTATTAAGGGACTGGATGCTGCCGTCGCCGTAGTCGGGTGTCGGGTAAGAGCAACATCGTCTTCCACTGTAATGAACCCAGTCACAGGAGAAACTCAAACATGTCGCGATGCAAGTCTGATTCAGCGCAACAATGCTGTCTCCAAAACCCGATTATAAGCCCAAGTCAAAGTAGATGAAACCTCTCATCAACCCGTAACCCAGAGAAGAGAATGAGAGGCGGGGGAGAGAAGTCAGATAGGAGGAGAGGAGAAGGAGAGTCCCTTGTGAATCAATAGCGCAGTGGTTCCCTCCTCTCGCCCACCTCCTCCTCGGGCACCTCCCACTAACGCCAACTTGGCGGCAAATCACCACTCCTCTGACGATCTCTGACATGTACTTGCTCAGGTCACAACAATGTGCCCATCCTCAGTCCACAAGACTCCACATCAGCAACAGCTAACGAGGATGGCACCATCCTCGTTAGCCCAACCTTCAAGACGAGCAGCAGATCACACACACTCCACGTAACTGGTAATTCCAGGTAAGCTTCCCCTCTTCACACTCGTCAACTTCACCGTCCAGATCCTCCTCCTCCTCCTCCTCCTCCTCCTAGCCTCCTCTCCTGCCAAGGTAAACTCTCTGCGCCCTCCTGGCTGGTGCTCAAGCTCAGACGCTGGCGCCAGCATAAAGCTCCCATAGCCTTGCGTCGTCGACCCAGCATCATGCCCTTGCAAGGAGGAATGATCTCATGCAGGGGCTGGGTCAACTTTATAATGTTGACTCGCGTTGACCGGCCTCTGCTCTCCTGAGGTCAACCGTCGAGATGAATCAGCAGCCGATGGCCTGGATGCAGCACAGTCCCAATTCCCTCTGTGTCCCAGTAGGACTGGAATCTTCTGGATGCCTGCAGGCGAACCAAAGATGTGCATCTAATCGACGTCCGTGGCTGACCAGAGGGTTGACTTTGACCCCTGGGCCTTTGACCTCTGTGTCCCAGTAGGACCGGAATCTTCTGGATGCCTGCAGACGAACCAACGATGTGCATCTAATCAACGTCCGTGGATGACCAGAGGGTTGACTTTGACCCCTGGGCCTGGAATCCCGTACTTGGGTTGACTGTTGACTTTTCCAAGGTTAACTGTCGCCCGTAGGGCCTCTGAAGGCCGTTTTTGACTTTGGCCTGGGGTACCCCTTGGCCTTGGACCATAATCGCAAATAGCGAATACGGTTCGTAGCTCTGTTGTTCTCTACTGGAGGGCATGGCCATTGTCTTGCAGACGCTCGTCAGACGACAGGGGGGAAGCAGACAGAGAAGAGCGAATGTGTCTTACACACGTCTGTTGGGCGACCCTGACAAGTGAATCTGTGCAGCTGAAGGGCCTTAATGTCATGCTCCAGGGGGTGCGATAACCCAGGTTCAGCATCAGCATCTGCATAGAGGCAGACGAAGGGTCAGAACTTGTGGTCAAAGGTCCGCATAAGTTACGACCCCTGGTCAAAGGTCCGCAAAAGTCATGCCCAAGTCTCAGAAGAGTTGACATGAAGGGCAATACAAGTCTTTTTTTTTTTTTTTTTTTTTTTGATAAGCCCTCGGACAAGCCAACTATCCCAATGGTGGCACTTCATTAAACTTTAGTACTTTGGTTGGCCATGCCCTGCTGATGGGCACTCCGTTTTTTTTTGTTTTTTTTTTCTTAAAGCACTTCGAAATAATGTCAGTCCCATCTGCAGGACGATGCACCCTTCTCCATGAACAGCCACTCCATGTGTGTGCCCTTGTCTTCCCAACTCCTCCAGTTCCCCTGATGCCTGTCCAAACTGCCTCTCCCTTTCTCCTTCTTTTCTTACCTGCAGATGTCCTTGCGCCTCCTCCTCCCCCCCTCCTCCCCCCCCCCTCCTCCCCCTCTCCCCCCTTTTTCTCTTGACAAAGCCTCCTTTGACTTCTGAAGTTGACTTGCTGAAGTAGATTCAAATGGCTAAGTTCGGAGAATGTGGTCGTTTCTGGTATAAAGAATGTGCTTGTATGGACGGCAAGGTACAAAAATGATTGTCCTGTTTTGAAGGGTTCTGCATGAACACTGCCTGTTAACTGATGTGGTGGAGAAAAGTTAGGCATAAAAAAATAAAAGTCGTAATTGTTACTCTACACCTTGTCCAACACCTACCTAGTCATTTTAACTTCTCTTCCCCTTTTTCGCTTTCTGGCGTCGTTGTGCGAACGGTTGGTTGCCATCACTCACAACAACTGCTGTTTCATGTTTCATATCCATGGCAGAACTACACACACACACACACACACACAGAGAGAGAGAGAGAGAGAGAGAGAGAGAGAGAGAGAGAGAGAGAGAGAGAGAGAGAGAGAGAGAGAGATTACCATAACCCACTGTGTACTGTGCAGTGTGCACATATCTTCGGTGCTTCTACGTGTGTTCATTTTGTTGCTCACAACATTACTTTTCTTTCAAAAACTGAATTTTGTGTGTGTGTGTGTGTGTCTTGGGAGTCACTAACTGATGAGAAAGGCGCAAATCGCTTCGAATACTTCCTTCTCATCATCAGTCCTGTTGTTTTTGGGTTTCTTCTCGTCGCTTCGACCTCGTTGAGATGCCTTTGTTGCCTCTCTTCTCTTCGGCGGCACTTGCCACTGCTATTGACATATCTACATCCATTGGCGATGTAATCACGGGAAGAAGTGACCCCTGAAGATTCTCTTCCATCCCATTTATCTTCGCGTCCACGTGGGTCGGCTCCACATCGATTGCCTCTACTGAGGGGAGCTTCTCTAGCAAGTCCGCAGACCTTGTAACAAACACCACAAAAAGACAAAAAAAAAGGTCGTATTAATGGCGCTGCACATGAACAGTATAATGATGGTCATGATCATTACTTTCTTTTTGTTGCATCTTCGATGGTTACGAGAGAAAAAAAAGAAAAAAAGAAAAAGAAAAAGGAAACGTAAACAAAGAAGAAACTGCNCTCTCTCTGTCTCTCTCACTCACTCAATCAACCAATCAATCAATCAATCAACCTATCAATCAGTGGATTCGACAAATTGATTGATTGGTTGATTCAACGATTGATCAACATCAATTGGGGAGCTCGGATCCGAGGGTCTGCGGTACGCTACGTACGGAGGCTCGCCGCTATGCTCAGGGATTTCTAATTAAAAAAAGTGAAAAAAAAACGAACAAAAAAAGTGTGGTTGTTTGCCACGTGGCAAGTTTCCATGTGACACTTGCGTACATAAAGACAGCAGGAAGAAGAAGAAGAAGAAGAGGAAGAAGGGAAAGAAGAATTGAAAGAAAAAAAAAGCAAGGCCGTTGCCACTTGGGTCGGGATCGACGGTTCGGATCATCCCGATCGGGATCGCGGTGAGAAGAGGCGGAGGAGATGGATGTGGAGGGTGGGTGGACGAAGAAGCGCAACAACAATGGGGGGCGAAGACCGCTCACTCTCTCTCTCTCTCTCTCTCTCTCTCTCTCTCTCTCTCTCTCTCTCTCTCTCTCTCTCTCTCAATCAATCGAGCAATCGATCAACGAATTAACCAACTAACCAACCAACTAATTAAAATAAAAAAGCCTAAGAAAAACGAAAAAAAACCGTGTCGCGGTTTGCCACGTGGCAAGTTCCGACGTGACAGTTGCGCACATTACAATAAGCGGAAGAAGAAGAAGAAAAAAAAAAAAAAAAAAAAAAAAGTAGAAAAAGAAGGAGAAGAAAGTTCAAGTAACTGGGAAACAGGACAGAGAACAGAAGAGGGGAGGAGAGGAGAGAAGGGGGAGCGAGCCAGGACACAGCGGACGCGGTAGAAAACAACCAAATTATCTGAAATACGAACGAGCACAGGCTGTCCGCCAAGGATGTTTATCTGAAATATGAACAACCAAAGGTAGAGGGACTCCGCTGGCTTAACCAGGAGATGCTGATGGATCTACATCTACTGAAGATCAAAGCCAGCGACCCTTGGTCAGAAGCAGACATTAGGTCCCTCTTAACAAAATTGCTGATAAATCCCTCCCTGCAGACGGGCGGCCCCCTGGACAAAGAGTCATGACAGCCATTTTAGGGATAAGGGGGAAAAGAGATAGACGCAAAGAATGAATGTGATAGATGCACTATATAACAAGAGGACAAACAGTGAAAACTTGGCAAAAGAACTGCTAATCTGGACCTGCGCTCACTGAACGTAAATGGACTGTTATCGGCAAAACATACTAAACGGAGAGCAATCATGGAGCTTTTGAGAGGGGTGGAGGGAAAAGATTGGCCTGATGTCATATGCTTACAGGAAACTCACCTGGCAGACACCCCGGAGCATAATCATATTCACAAAGACATTTGGCCACATCAAGCTTTTCGCGCCCATGCCCCGAAGCCGGGCAGCGGCGGAACTGCCATTTGGCTCCCCCCGGGATCTAGAGTGGAACCCTTCAATTGGGAGGTGGACAATGAAGAGGGGAGATGGGTGTACATCCTGGCGATGCCGGAAATAGAGGTGGTGAGCATCCTCAACGTCTATGGCCCGAACGATCCCAGAGAACGGCAGATATTTTTCGAACACCTTAAAACAAAATTGCCGGTGGGCATTCCTATAATAATGGCAGGGGATTTCAACGCGGCCCCGGATCGTTGGCTTGACAGGTGGAAGATTCCTTCCCCCTGCCCCTTTTACGTGGAGAACGACGAGAGGACCATAGCAGACTTGACTCAAACCCTCCAGCTCGTGGACGCGTTTAGACAGGCATTCCCTACCAGGCGGGATTTTACCTGCTTTCGTAAAAATCAGACACAAAAGACATCCAAATCACGCATTGATTTAATACTAATCTTAGAAGAACTGCAAGGGGCGCTACAAATAGCAGAAATCTTCCCCTGCAGCCCTCACCCGGGGCTAGACCACACAATGTGTTTGGGCATCTTTTCATTTCGAGAAAAGCCAGATCAAGGGAGGGGGTTTTACAAACTTAACACATCCCTACTGGCCATAAATCGCTTTAAGACCTATCTGAAAGAAGTCTGGGCCTATTGGCGCTAGCAAAAGACATTGATCCAGGATGACATACTATGGTTCACCAACGGCCTGGCATTCCTGGGCCGCAAGTGCAATGAATACTCAAGATTGCTCGCAGCTAAGCGCAATGCAGAAGAAATAGACCTCCAACACAGATTGCAACAACTCCAACAGCAAGAAGACGATATGAGTGACGCCACAAGGCTAACATAACTAGCCGACGAAATACAGACACTGGAAACCCGAATCCTGGAACGAATGGAACATCGATGGCAAGGCATCAGGATCCGAGGAAAGCTTCACAAGCACAACATGGAAGAAACCATGGACACAAGATTTTTTGCAATGGCTAAAGCGAAACTTGGGCGATCAACGATAGAAGCCTTGGAGGACCCGAACGTCCATCAAGGGCCCCTGCTGACATCTACAACAGCCTGCACAAAAATAGCAAGAGATTTCTTTCAGGATCTCTTTAAGTCAGAGTGCGGGACTCAACCAGAGGAGCTGAGAATGAAGGAAATCGATGAGTTTTTGCTTCCCCTCACTAGAACACTGACAGGCCAACAGAAGGAACTACTAGAACAGCCCCTCACAAAAGGAGAAGTATGGACACCACTGATGCTTATGGAGGAGGAAAAAAACCCGGGCATAGACAGTTGCCAAAGGAGTTCTGGGAGGCAATCTGGGAAGACATTTCACAGGACTTAATGGATTATTACAAAGCGATGTGGGAGGCTGGCAGGACAGGTGAATTTGTAGGTCAAGGAGTCCTAACACTCCTCTACAAGAAAGGAGCAAAGACAACATAAGGAACTATAGACCACTTACACTCCTCACAGTGGTTTACAAGATGGTGGCCAAAGCATTCGCGAATCGATTGATTAAAGTAATGGACAATATTATACACCCGAACCAGACAGGGTTCATTAAGAGTAGGAATATCCAGGACAATATCCTCTTAGTTAATGAGGTGATCAAACTGACAAGACAATCCAAACGAAACGCAACAATTATCTTCATTGACTTTGAGAAGGCCTACGACCACGTGGACTGGATATTCCTGGATAAATGTCTGGAAAAACTTAACTTCGGACCCACATTCAGACGATGGGTGCAGATCCTTCATAGAAATGCGACAACTAGAGTCATGGTCAATGGCAACCTGGCACCACCAATCACCTTGCAAAGATCGGTGAGACAGGGAGATCCGTTGGCTCCATTCCTCTTTGTCATAATCATCGAAGCACTAGCAACAAATTTAAGAACCCATAAAGATATAAAAAGAATACAACTCTCCTCAATCCCAAAAGAAGCTATCCCAGTTTACTCCATGTTTGCTGGCGACCTGACCCTCATGGTGGATGCAACCCGTGCATCGATGGAAGAAGTCCAGCATATGATGGATCATTTCTGTACCTTATCCGACATGAGAGTAAACTGGGGAAACAAAACTCTGGGATGGTGGATTCATCATCAAGGGGTAAGACCCCCGGAACAACCGAAGGTGCGGTGGTTACCTCAAGAAGCCCTAATCAGAGTCCTGGGAGTCTCCCTGACCGCCAATGGCAAACCAATAATAAACAACGAATGGATAGCCAGACCTCCCCTGGAAAAGTTGGCACTATGGAAAGACAAACATACCTCGCTGTTGGGGAGAACCTTGGTAATCAACAATGTCGTGCTTGCCACTCTTTGGTACAAGTCAGCCATTTGGGGGCTAGATAAGGCCACTCTGCGCCCCCTTCAGCAGCAGATAGCTGCTTTTTTATGGCGGGGGGACCACGAAAAACAGAACGTGATAAGCAGAGTAGCATGGCAGTCGATCACCCAGCCCAAAGTAAAAGGGGGGTTGGGTATAATTGACCCTGCGACACAAGTCAAGGCACTGGTCATACAATGGCTTAAGCGCCTGCTTTTTTGCCCACAAATCCCTTGGAAAGAGTTGGCCTTGGAACAGATCTTCAGGCTAGCCCCAGAAACACCGGCCCATATCAACCCGCTCACATGGATTGAAAACAGAGAATGGTCAATCCCACGACCATAGTCTCAGCAAGAAAATCTCCCCACTGATTCGCCAAGACAAGAGGCAAGAAAGGATCTGCATAAGGACCCCTTCTGGCCAACCCTGCTACAAATATGGAGGAGCCTCCCCTTCCCGGACAAAACAGCACCCGAGAGATGGGAAGAAGTGGTCCGACAGTCGCTATTTGGGAACAGAAGGATAACCAATTCAAGGGGTCAATTGCTACACTGTATGGATCCCCCTTGGAAAGGATGGGTTAAGAGGGGAGTTCTAAGAATTAGGGACATCTGGGACGTAGACAGGAGGGACTGGATCACGGGAGAGAGTCTCAAGGAAAAACTGAGATACTGTCACAGACCAGAGCAGGCGATGGAAAACCTCATAGAATGCGTCCCCTTTGACTGGTGGAAAATTTTGAGAAAAGGACCCTCAATACAAGAGTCCGATTGGGTAGCAATTTGGGGTCGTCATGGGGAGGTGGGCAATGTGGTGTGTTGTGATCCAAAGGGACCAGTGGTGGTGGACACATTCAAAACCGGTAACGAAAATCTCCTTCAAAAGACCAGTCCGGAACAGATACAGTTCCTCGAGAAGGACGACCTCTTCAGAATTAGGGTGCTGTGGGAGAGGGGCAGATGGGTGGCATTCTCCCCAGACACGCCGATATCCCTTCTACCCCTGGATCCCTTGGAATGGGAATGGACAAATACAACTGGCAGAGGTAAATCCAGCACCAGAACGTTGTATAACTTAACAGTCAAAGCAACATACAGACTGCTCTGCCCAAAAACCAACCTGAGGGACCAGGTGGAAGCGAGATGGATGAAACATCTGAATACCAGCAAAGAATCGCTGAGAGACGTAAAATGGTTTCAGCTAACCAAAAAGAAACCAGCAAATCTGGCCTCCCTGCAATGGCAGTTGGAACACTGCTGCCTGCCAACCAATAACTGGTTGATAGACAGGACCACCCTTGAACAAAGAGGACTTGCGCTCCCCTGGTGCAGACTATGTTCCAATGCATTCCCATCCAGAAAGATACCAGAAACAATGGAACACATCTTTCTACAATGGCCCGGAGCGGTCTGGCTCTGGCGCTGGTGGGACAGAATATGGGATCAGTTAGGAACAGGGGTACCCTGGCCCTGGGATTGAAAAACCCTGTTGTTTGAAAGATGGTCTGCCGAACAGCGGGACGATTTCACCCTCAACATCTTCCAACAAGGACGACGGGCAGTATTGTGGGCACTCTGGAGACGCCGCTGCACTTATGAAATGGAAGGAGTTAGGTTGGAAGGGCCAGAATTCACGGAGGGCATACAACAACAGATTCACATAAACATAATAGCAAGATGGGAGGAAATTAAAACACAGATCAAACATATTCATACTGAGAACGAAATAAAACAGAGGATACAAGATTTCTGCAACAGCTGGCTCGGGGGGGAAACGGGGGGGAGGATAGGAAAGGTGGAATGGAAAGGGGGAAATGGGGGACAAGGGGGAATGGGGGATAACAGGACGATCACTAGAGACTACAAGCTCCTCTTCAATGACTGGACCAGGCTGGATGACTCAATCCTAATGCAGCCGAGCAGCGAATTACCGGATTTCTTCCCCCCCCCCGCTAACAGCCTGGTAGGAGCTTCTTGGTACGGGGGAGAGTGAAGGAAAAAGACGAATGACAGAGGAAGGCACAAGAGTACTCAAGAGAGCAGCGGGACTACTTGGAACGACAGAAGAGGCAGAGCTAGCAGTACCTAGAGGAAGAGAAGGGTTTGAAGAGCAATGACAATGATAGGACTAGGTCGAAAGTCTATATGCATATATATAACACTTTCTGTAGGGAGAGGGAGGAACTAGGTTGTACCAGTGGATATCTGCCACCGGGTTCCAGGGTTCTCTCTACTGACAGGATTTTCCCACAAGTTTGTTTGCTGTGATGTATTCATTCATACGGGACGCTGGACCCGTTTTCCAGGAGTGACGCTCCCCACCAACAGATGGAGCCTCTCCCCGGGTGCTAGTGGTGGCTGCTCTTATCAGCATCACTAACACTGGCAGGGGCGTGTTTTCAAAAAAAAAAAAAAAAAAAAGAAACTGGTCCATTTTCTCCATTCGTGTTCGGCCTCCTTGCGCAGGGGTATCGTTGCAATTTTAACAGGTCGCAAAGGACTCGATCGTTAAAAATACCTGGATAATGACCCAAGTGGGCTCTGTCAGGCCCAGGCGCGCTGGTGGTTTAAGAAGAATTATCAGGGGCCAATAGTGACCATTGGAATGTGGAAATCTGACGCTCTCGTCCTCATCCGTTTTCTTTTTTTTATTTTTAACCAGGCTGGGTGCTACCGGTAGGGAGGGTGATAGGGGTAGCCCTGCGTAGCTACCTTTCTGCTTGTTCCAATCTATTGTTTGTTTGTTTTTTTTCTTTTCTTTTCTTTTTTTCCTTTTTTGTTTTTTGGTTCAAACTTCAAATCTATTGGTGGGCAGCTACACCTGCTGGAAAACGGGTCCACCGTCCCTATGGTCCCAAATTACAATATTTGTCAGAAGACTCAGAGACTCAGAACAGATTTCTGCCAGCACTGGCTAGGCCCAGAAACCCAGGGAATTGACTCTGCAGGAGGATGATTGGGCTGAGTGGATGGGTCTCAGTGCACTACTCCCCACTCTCCGAAAAATCGATCAGAGAGTGCGCGGAGAGCTGAAAAACTCTCCGAATTCGTGATTCTTGGTTCACCACCGCTGCACTGACTCTCCACTCTCAGAGACTCCAATTGCTGAGTGCGCTAGCAGAGACGACGGCAGCGCTGGCGGTCACGGCGTGATGTGCATTTTGTCCCCCCAGACTCCAGGCACACTCTCCGAATTCGAAGCAACTTGGAGAGTCGGGCAGAGGTCTGAGAAAAACCACAGTTGCAGGCTGGGCACTCTCCAACAGCGGAGAGTGGTTTTCGATGAAGGTTTCTCACAGCTATCCGGAGGCTTTCGGAGGATTGAGTCGGATAGCTAAGTGCAGTGATGAAAAACTCTCCGAATTCGTAGAGTGGAGTGACCCACTAAAACACAGACTGAGAACACTGCTGATTTCTGGGTTTCGCCGCTGGATTGTATGCCTTGCTGAGATTCCCGCATTCTGCTGAGTTTTCTAAGTCTGTGTGTGTGCGTGCCTGTCTGAGTGCTTGCCGGCCTGAGTGTGTGTGTGACCTGCAAGGGTACTTGTTCGTTTGGAGGCCCCGCAGGGCCGGTACTTAAACCTGTGGCCGTGCCTTTGAGGGTTGCGGCGGGAAAAAACACTCAAGTGGCAGGGGTAGGCCCGTGGCACTTAGAGCAGCGGGAAAAACACTCAAGTAGCAGGTAGGCCGGTACCACTCAAGTAGTGGTAGAAGTATCGGGTACTTGAGGCCGAGCAGAAGACAAAAGGTTGGCATTTTTAGAGGCCCAGTAATGGTAGGCTAGAGGTAGGCCGGTACCAGGTCAAGTAGCCTGAGTCTAGGGCCTGTACGGACGATTATCAGAGCCTGCAATGATGTTTCCCTCTGAAAGGGAGGAGGTACCTGTTGCTGGGAGGCCGCACGGCCTAGGAAGTCACCACCCAAGAGGCAAGCAGGCCGCTATATCTTCTGGAGGAGTGAGTAGGTTGGGTGACATACTGCTTGAGCGAAGACCTGGACTCAGAGCGCTGCCTGGGAGGACGAAGAGGAGCTGGGCACTCAGCCTGGCTATGGCGAGCAGCCCAGCTTGAGGAGGAGGAAGAAGGGGGTGACGGAGGAGAGTGGCGAGGTACCTACCTGGCTATCGTGGACACCATCTTCCTCACCTTATAAGGCGTTGCATCTGGAAGGCCCCAGTTGGGGTAGTGCCGCACCAAGGAAGCTCGAGGCAGAGTTAGGCATCACAGCCTGATGAGCAGCGACCATAGCTGCTTTGGGTTGTCCTTTGGACTGGAGGGAAGAGCCCTTAGTAGTCCGCCATAGCCTTGGCATGTGTGAGGAGGAAGAAGGAGGGACACCATGGCTATGGTGGACCTGTTGTTGTACTGGCAGTAAGAGGGAACTTCGGATATTGATTCAGGTTCAACCTCTCTTTGTTATTATTATTATTTGGGAGAAGAATAAGATTGGCGGAGACAAGGAGAAGGACAAATGTGGAGAGAGAAGGGGGAATTGTCATTGGCCTTGCTGGTGTGCATCTTCTTCTTCTCCTTCTTCTTCTTCTTGGTCCAAAAAAAACTATGGCAACAATTTTTGGGGTCCCCCGGGCACGGGAAAATCGCCTGGGGACGCCAACAAGAAATTTGGAATTTCTTCAAAATGGGGTCCAACCGGACCCTCCAAACCGGACACCGGACCCGGACATCAGACCCTGACTGTTTGGATCGGGATCTGGGCGTCCTATTAACAATCATGCTTTATATAGTCTTACCTTGACGATGGAATACAATGATCTGCAAGGATCCCCTCTGTGGCTGCATACGCCGCTTTAGCCTCCAAGACGACGATTTCCGCATGCTCCAGCTCAAATTGCAAATATGTGGCCTCACAAGCTTCACAACACAGGACAGCAGATAGATGCAACAGGAAAATCATAACATTGTAAACAGACTTTCACCCATACGTCATTCAATGACATGTCGTGTGAGCGTGCATGCAGATATGACGGTCATCGCCCCAACTACATCAAAATCAAGTCTGTCTTCTTCAACAGAAACGTTACACTGGGGCCCACAAGCAATTTGCAAAATCTGCAATGGCCAGATATCCCATGTACACAAGAAATTATGGATGATGTGGCTACTACGGTGGGTCGGTCCCCACGTCTCAAACAAACACTTGCACTTTCGCGATAACAGCCCTACACAACTTGTTCACACAAGCACCACGCGAACTTCAGTGTCCCCTCCCCCACTGTCCCACAGTGCAACCCCTGTCTCTCCCTGCTATCAAAGGTACAGATCAGAATTCAACGCAGTCTTCATGTACTACAAATGTGTACTCCCACACGCATGTGGGGGACGGATCTCTCCCAGAACATCGAAGTGATGCTCCCACTCGATGGCTCACTCACCACCAAGCAAACGCTCTACCGAACCACATGGGAAAGCTACTCAATTGCAATCGCAGAGGTGGCCCAGCCGAGGGCGTTTCTCGTACGCTGTAGGCATAGGGGGTACGCGCGGTCGAACACAACAGCATGATCCCACTACAAGAGGATCAGAAGACAACAGCTACCAGATGGCAACTTGATCGCCCTTCTCCTCCAGCTATGCCTGTCTTCTTGACCCCACAACGCGAGGACTGCTTCCTTCCGACGAACCACCACCACGCAGAATGAATGGGGCTGCAAAAGCGAATTCTGAATTGTTGTTTCCTGCGCAGTTTCCCCCAGTTTGTTTTGCCCTTGGAACCGTCCAGATTCCTTGCTGGACTCGCAATTATCGCACAAGTGGTACTAAACATCGACTTTACGTCATACGTACACATAAGAGCAGGTCTCAGGTTCAAGGCCCCACTAGCACAGTCAACGCTCACAGCAGGGTGTAGCTACAGTCTTCCCCTGAATACAACGTACGGCAGGGTTGCAACCCTGCCGACCGCCGACCCCGACCGCTGACCGTATTGCAGCGGACCAGTAGGGGCGACCGGTTGGCGGTCTGCCGACCGGTGAGAAAACAACCATCCACTGATTTTTTTTCAAATCTGAGTTGGGGGCTGTACTGCGCTTGCCGAGTAGAGCCCAAATCCTCTGAGAAACTTTTTGTGATGGGGGAGGGGTATCGGGGGGTTGGGGTTGGAGCATACCTGCGGCGCAAGTGTGCTGGTCACCGATGCACAAAAAAAGAAAAAAAGAAAAAAAAAAAAGAGAAAAAAAAAAGAAAAAACGGCTGTTATGTGTGAGAACACGCAAAAGGGAGAGAGA